GTGAACCAGAAGTAGAACAAATTAACCATAGTAGAGCTTCATGGCCCTGCAGCTGAAGCAGACTTCTGGGTGGTTTGTCCAGTTTTACCTTGGGCTTTTCCTTGCTACAGTGACACACAGACAAACCCTGACATCCCATCTACAATTCTGTTCACAGCTGCATTTTTAGAAGCTCACTTGACAAAACAAACACCTGTATATGATAAGTTATACTACCACTTATATGTATGGAGGTGTAAGTTTTTTCTTCCGATTATTTACTTTTTAGCCTACTGAGAGCTCAGACTGAGTTCAAACATGAAGTCATTGTACATGAGTGCTGAGCAACACATAGTCCTAGAAAAACAGCTTACGTTGTTGATGTGCAAAGCCTCAGCCCCTTTCGGATAAGTAGAGAAGAAATGTGATTGGTTTTAGATAAAGTACAGCTGTTCTTTGGCTGAATCTCCTTGAAGGAATTCTCTTTCTTTTTGGAGCGTGTTGAATAGTATTTGCTTGTGTTTCCTTTCTTCCCTTTAGCTGTGATACCCTTCTCCTTTCATCTGCTGTGTGTCCATGACTTGCACTGCAAGAGCTGGAAAAGACGACTGGGGAAGGGAAATGTAAGAAGGGGAGCGTATAGACAAAAGTTGTTTGCAAAAGATGAAAGAGGCTCTCGCGTGTCGTTCTTTCTCTTTTTTTTTTTTTTTTCCCCCCCCCAGCACGGAGCAATGGTTGTCCTCATGAAGTTGTTCCAAGTGAATTTCTTATTCATGACAGTATTTATGTAATAATGGGAAGCTTAAAATGCAAACTTAACTAAATCGCACTCATAGTCATACCAGTGATGCACAGAAGATTGTTCAGAACATCTTGTTTTTCTCAACCCTCATTTAAAAGTAGTTAGGGAAGATGGCATATGGCAACGTCACAGCAGAGAGCTGACAAGCACACCTCACTGGGTCCTTGAAGAGGGGAGCGCTGCGAGTACCTTCCTCGGCAGAGCACGCTGACTAGATGACCAGGTGGAACGTCTCTTGCCAGCCAGGACAGCCGACTTGATAGATATCTCTGGGGTTAGTAAGGCTGGCACCAGGGGTGGTGTAAGGGGGTCAACACAGCAGATCACAGCAGACTCTTCTTGTTGCAGACGCTTTTGCCTCATCTTTGTGCCTTTGAAGGTGATACTAGCGTAATGTGAGTATCACAGGACTAAGAGACCTAAGTTGACACTGAAATCGTTATACAACTCTAGGAAGGCTGGAATTATTGGATCATCCTTAGATTAGATACGTTTGATTATAAAATCCCTTCGGCCTGCAGTAGAATGCTTTAGTTTTCCTCTGATAAGATTAGAGAATTTGTGGTACCGATGCCACCCAGAGACTTCCGCTAACATTGCAAATCTAGTAGTTTTAAACAGTAGTATTTTTCTGTTAGAAGTTACTTCAAGAAGATGGTACTGCCCATATGTTTATCTTTGTGGTTGCTATTTGCACAAAAGGACACCATGACGTGAGGTGCCTTACACCTATACCGTAAACACTACTGAAACTTTTAATATCTATGTTAATTTTTTAATGCAACTGGCAGTTCTCTATACCTGTCTTTTAACTTTGTTCTTTACCACGTAAGTTCACTTCTGAATTCCGTTCTAAACATATTGCTCTGTTCTTACTGCTGTTTTGTCAATTTGTTTTACTGTTGACGGTAGCTCTACGTGCCTTTGAAGGGCTGAATAATGAAACTAAGTTCAGAGACAGCTTTGCTTCATTTACAAAGAAACGTAGAGGTCGGCAGCCCTCGGCACGTCCCTGGACAATGTAAACCGAACAAGCCACGGCCTGCTGGATAGATATTAATTGTAAAGTAAGATTGAGACAGATTTCTGGACTTTCATTATTTGGTCAAGTATCTAATGTTGTCCTGCCCAGCTTTGATCATTAACCTCGTTTGTCTATAAAGTCCTTTAGGAGAGGAGACTCTCTTGACCTTTACTACAACGGGAGTGGGCTTCAGTGCTTTTGCTTTGCCATGGGTTTATGAGCCGTAGCAAACCTTTGTATCCCATTAAATCTAAGCTATTAAAAAAACCCATCCAAACCCTGGAACATCTAGGAAAATGCACTGTGATTCACAGCATGTGAAAAGAGAACTGCGGCTTTCTCAGAGTCTCCGATTCTTTCCACACCCATATCTTTTAAGCCTGTAAGAAAACGTGCATTGTATTTCGGGAATGTTTTTGATTTACAAGTCCTGCAGATTTCAGCCCTATATTCATGATCTTCTTCATTTATGAAAATTGATAGGTATGCATTACGGTAGTACTGGAAGGTCCCAGCAAATGTTGGAGTCCAGTTGCTGGCATGATTGTACATAATACAATTAATACACTTTTCCGCTGAGAGATTAAAGTCCGAGACTGATGTCTGCAAAACAGTAAATGTGCATGCTTAGCTTAAAAAAAAAAAAAGGTGTTTCTGAGCAAGAGAAATAATGAGAGAGAGAGAGAGAGAAATAATGGAAGGGCAAAGAGGGCAAAGCATTTTAGTGTTACACTTGAACTGAGGGCAGAGGAAGGGGAGGGGGGTGTCCGGGACAGGAGAGCTGAAGCTGGAGAGGGAGGGACAGCGGCAGGTCGTCACGCGCTGCGCTGGGAGCAGCAGGTGGTACAGTTAGGTTACGTACCAGCAGGCAGCAAAATTAACTTACGCGTTTATTTGTGGAACTGTTGTAGTATATAAAATCTACAGCTGCATTATCTTATAAAGCACGTCACGTTGCATCTACAAGGAAACCATTAATTAAGTGAAACCATGAGTTTTTAAATCAAAGAAAAATATTTGATAGACCTTTAATAGCTTTTTCTCGTCTCTGACTCTAAGGAGATAACTCTTATCAGAACTGAAAGATCTTGTTTGACCTGTGGCTCTTCAGCTGTATTTTACTGTTTAGATAGTAATACATCTTAAATTTTCAGTAGTGTAACTGGAAAGAGAATTTCACCAATATGTTTTTATTGTTACAATTTATTAGGGTTCTGTTTGGATGTATTTTTTTCTTGCTTTTTAAAAAAGTTTTCCCTTACAGAAATGCCACAAAAGTTCTGACTTTATCCCATATGGACTGGCTCCTGTGGGGCATGCGATGCCACTGCGCGACGCAGGATGCGCTGTTTCAGAGTGTTTGCTGCAAAGAATACGGTTGCTCTTGCTGCCTTTTGCTCTTCCTGACCCTCGTCCCTCTTTATCCCAAGCAAGACTGATGCTGAATACAACAAAGGAAGAATAAAATCATTTATGTTTTGGAGAAGTGGGGGGGAGGGGGTCAGGTTTCAGAGATATTTCTCAGCAGGTCCTCATGCTCCTCTTGCTCTCCAGCCTGGTTGTGCCTAGCCCTAACTGGCCTTTTCCTGCCTCCCTCCTTCCCCCCGCCACCCCGAAATTGTGGGAAACTTAGGGCTAATGGCATCAATGGTGAATTTAGCTACCAAACTTTCCTGAACATATACAGACATTACAGGCCTGTGATTGTCCAGATGTGTATAGGCTGCCATTAAAAACGCAGCAGTTGCTTTTCTGACACCCACGTGATTCCACCGCAAGGGTCCATCTGTTCTCCCAAAGCATATGGTGCTGCAGCTTCTGCACAGCACGCTTGATGGTTCTCTGCAATAGCTGAATACATTTTTGACACCAAATAACATCTTTCACCCAGGCCCTCTCCGTAGAAACAGATGACCTATTTGTGCTAAAACTTAAATATTTTAAATTAAGAACAAATCACCCTGGAACAGGCACCAGACGTTTGCAATAAGAAAAATATGCAAGTGAGCAAAAAAACAGAGCTTGCAGTGGGTCCTGTTGGGCAACGTGAGCTATAACTAGTGATCTCAGTATCAAAAATTACTCTGCAGTGGCACTCTTGGAGAGGTTGGTGTCGACTGTGTGTACCAAAGGGTTGTCACAATGGGCGCGCCTTTGATCCTTTTATTTGACTGTTTCACATTTGTTGTCTTTAAATAGGCAGTTCCACAGCGCCGCTGTGGCATAGGTATGTGGTCGTTAGAGTCGTCTTCACCTTCTGCGTATGTCCCAGAATACTGTTTTGTGGCTGCATTAAAAAATAGTAATAAAAAGGCTTTGGTGTCCTGAGAATTGGAAGAGAAACTCCAGAGGATGAGGCTTTTGTACAACTGCCGTTTTTTTAAGAACCGTTAATATCAGTATGCCTCATAAATAGGAATTTTATGCACTCTTTGTGTCTGCCTAAAAAAATCTCTCTGTGCTCCTGGAACAACAACATTTGTGTTAATGTAGCCACACTGTTGGGTACCCAGCAGAAGCAGTAATAATGGAAAATTTTAAGGGGTTGGTACAGTTATTTATATGTGTTTAACTTTGAAACTAGAAATAGGTTCATATTCTGACTACAAATAACCATCATTGCTGAATTTCAGCAACTTACCCACTTGCCTGCAATCTGTTTTTCATAGTGTTACAGTGGTCTGAGAAAGGCAGGTAAAAAAAATGCTCTTTTCTGACTGTCAGGCATCTTCCCTTTTTCCTTCCTCCTATCTCAACCACTTTAAAAGTCAAACATGCTAGTTTTTCTTATTATTTTCCATAAATTCCAGTCAGATTTTTTTTAAGTCATCCTCAGCTGCTTCTGATGCACAGGAGATTAATCTGACCTCATTTGGGTGTCTGCCAATGAATTATGGTTATAGTCTGTTGTTGTTTGCCTTACCTAAGGAAAAAAAAGCCCCACATCTGGTTTATAAGTAAGAACTAAATTTTGATACTTCATTCATCACACAATTTATTGAGTGTTTATTCTTTGTTATATAAGCATAGCGTGGATTATGTGATATGGTGGTAAAAAATCTCTTAAGACCATACTGAGAAAACTCACAGCCCATAGTATCTGCAAATGTAATGTTGGCTACCTGATGTCCTACAGCTACAGTATTTACAGTAGACTTTTACAGTAACAAGTATATTTGTTTTTCATTTTTTTAGAGATTGCCCCTTGGTTACATGTGTTCAGAGCAGAAGATGCCATAGACTTCTCACAGTTAACATTTGACCCAGGACAAAAAGAGCTAATTGCTGGAGCAAGGTGAGAAAAGCATTTCCTTTTCATGCTACATCAGACTGAATTTTGTTCTTTGTAGATAAGTAGTATTGAGGTCAATTGTACCATCAGGTTGCTCCAATTGTACATATTATTGTTACTGGTACCTCCTTTTCACTGAGCATTTTTCTCCTCTTTAAGCATTGTCCCGCGGTTTGTTTTGAAGATGTCGTATGTTCAGAACAGGCTGGCAGCCAGTTGCCAGGGTGCTGTAGTCCCAAAGTGCAAGTGTTGATCTTGATTATGCACCTTTTACGTATAGTCCACGTTATCCTGTAGACGGTCTACTCGCTGTCAACATGATGTTCATGATGTTTTGCAGTCTGCCAAAGTCTAGACCGCTTCCACAATTGTCTGGAAGATATAAATTTGTGCAAGTTTTCAGAGGAAAGAAAACAAACTTCTGAATAATTCTTTTTTTTCCCCCCTCGAGCAATCAGTTCCTTGTGTTTTTCCTTAAAGCTGCGTTTGTAGTTATCCTTCACCCAAGGCCATCTAAGGAGAGTACTAACAGTACTATATTTGTGCTATGGCCTGCGGAGATCATTTGAGTTCAAATTTGTTGTGCAGTCACCTCCTGGGATTCCTGTATCTGAAGAGCCATTAGAGGGATTCACTGTCTGTTCTAATCCTCAAGCATTCTCTCGTAAAGATAGTAAGGAGAAGTCTTTCGTAATTCCTCCTCACTGGTGAAATATCTTTTCATATGCACTAATTGCTCTTGGATTATTGCAACAAATTAAGTTTCCGTTATCTTCTTGTGTTCTTGTGCTAACGCTTCAGTACTGAAAAACTAGTAGCTGCGTCCAATGTGATTTTTACTAAGAAAAGCTACAAGTTCCTGTTGAGTTGTGAAAATGATAATTTGTAGTCTTCTGAAATGTTTTACCCTTCTCTACCCAATCATTCAGTAGCCCTGTGGCACATGGTGAAGCTACAGATAAACTTATATTAACGTATGACTCCGTTAACACTGCAAAGAGAAGCACTCCCATTAGTGATTACTTGTCCAGCATCCAAACAGAAGTGGGGAATGATGCTCTACCTCTAAGCTTCTGCTTTAGAAAGGCAGTGTCCTCCCACACTGGAGGAAGGATTTTCACTAGCCGGATTCAGAGCTGTGTCCTCACCCAGCTTAAGTTTATAATAGAATTTTTTCAGAGTAGCAGATTTTAGTGAACTCTTCCCCGAAATTCGTCCATCTTAGCGGAAGAGGTTAGGAAGGGAAAGGCTGCTAAGGCGATCAGGAATGAATAGGGTTGGAATTTTACTGTAGCAAAACAGCGGTTGAGTGGTTGAGCATGTGCCTCGTGAATCCATCGGGGGTACCTGTAGGGAAGGAAATAGCTCCATGAGCTACACAGTAGAGTTGATTTTTGTTTTGTTAACTTTCTCCAAGTTTGCCATAGATAATTTATTCAAGAAGCAATGAGTTTTGAACCCATTTCCTAGTGCAAATAAAACAAGAACAGAATTGTTCTCTAAATGATCTCTAAATATATGGAAGGGACACTCTACTGTAGTACTTGTCAAAGCAGGCAGTAAGCAGAAAGGTCCCTTCCAGTCCTATACTGCTAAGATTAGTTTCGATTATCCAGTTTTGGAAATAAAACTGGTCTTATGGCTATCTTGGGACATTCTGTAGTTGCTGTGCAAATATAGAGTTGTTTCTTTTTTTCTCCACTGAATGCAGATTGTATTTCTGTGCTTGGGAGGTTTTTCCAGTGAATATTCTGTTTTGAGCAACGCTCAACACTCTTATAGGTCTTGAGTTGATTAATTTGATGTCTTCAACTGTTGTTTCTGTTTTCTTACATCATCTGTAGACTTCTGTAACTGTTGCCTTTAGTGATCCGGTATTAGCGCGCACTTTCACTTTGATCATCCTGTCCATGCTGGCACTAGTGTTTCCCTTGTTCTGAGGTTTTACCGAAGATTTGGAAAACTCTCCTGCTTCCCCGTCCCACTGCTCTCCTTTGGGGGAGAGCTTGCTGATCCTAGGGGAGCTTTTCTGTAGTTCAGCCTGGCTTATTTCTAGAGTGTGCACAAAGTCCCGTTTCTCTGAATGCAATAAAAACAAGTAATGGCAGCCAGTTTTATTGTTTCAAATTTCTCACAAGTCTCGCAAGTCGAAGGTTGCTCAGCTGCAGCGGGGTCTTATCTCTTATGTTACACTTGCATGCTTTTCCTACCGTGAAGTCCAGTACCTTTAATTTCTGATTTTCTGCTTTAGTTTCTGATTATCGCTATCCAGTACACTTTCAATTGTATCTTCCACTTGAATTGTAAAAGGAGAGTTAGCACAGCTTTCAGGCTTAACCAAGTTTGCACTTGTCTTTGGATTAAAGAGTCACTTGATAATCATTAATGTCTTCCAGCATGACAGGTTGCTCGATAGCATATATTGAAGCTGAAACACAAATGTTTTAAAGTACTTTGTTTTAAAACAGTGTTCTTTTATCTTTTGTCAATCTACTGTGCAAAACAAAATATATACATACTATTGATAAGGGCTTCAGAGGGAGAGGAGCATCTTCTGAAATGACTGATGAGTTAGCTTGGATCTCCATAGCAACATGCTAATTTCTTAGGACAATTTTCTGCAAGCTCATTTGGAAAGCTTAGAGAAGTGTGCGTGGAGGGTGGGGGGCAAGGTGGAGGGCGTGGAGACAGATGAGGGAAAGGCAGAGCAAGAAATTTATGTTGCCTAATTTTGACTGTGCATTTTGGGCCATTTTATCAAATTAAAGTGAAGATTCCCATCCAATTTATAAAGCTGAACTGAGGGAAGAAGAGTGATTTTTATTGTGGCTGCTGTGTTTTACAACTTGCATTTGAAGAATATCACAGATTTTTCAGTATTATATCAATTAGGTTTAGATTTCATGAAAAAAGAACTTTTTTCGTGATAGGTCTGCGGTAAGTTGTATGAGCTTATACATTTAAGTAAAATGAAAAAAACTAAAATAGATTCATGAGGAACTCTGTAGACAGAGGATCCAAGATAGGTATGGAACAGCAGTTAGTACACAAAGAAGATTATTTGTTTTGACATAGGGCAATATAGCTATTCCCATGAACCCACTTCTTTAAAATTTGCCTTAAGCGTTATTTTTAACATCATATATGACCTGGCAGATAAAACCTCTTAGGGAACATATGGTGAGACAGAACTTACTTTTATAATTAAGTGGCATCAGCAAAGGATTGCTCTTAGGGCGTTAGCTCCTCAGTTAAGCCCAAGGAAATGAGAAGCTGTTTGTGTGTCTTACTGTGAAAATACTCAGAGGAATATTTGTGTGTCCGTTTAACGCACCAACTTAGCATCTAATCAAAAATGGTAATGATTACTAGCCCAAAAATCCATGGATTTGCCCAAGAGCAACCTTTCCTTTTTTTTCTCTCTGTGGAGTGCTCTGCCGTATCTCATCCAGCGCTTTCTTCCTTTCTCTCCCTGAAAGGTCAGTTTATGGGGAAAGATGAGTTGAGGGGGATGATGCAGCAGTGTTTCGATTGCCCTGGCAAAGTGTGCGGTGCCATTTCTTCTCATTCCCTAAATTCTTATCAACTGTTTCTTATAAACCGAACAAAAAGTGTGTGCAGGAAGTGTTCCAGCCGTTTTGGGTAAAACAGGAGTCAGCTCGAAGGTCTCACAGCTGATGGGTCAGGGCAGCAATGTTGAAGTGCAAAATAGTGAGTTAGGTTTTCCTTTTAATACCTTCTGTTTTGTTTCTCTCTCTGTGTATGTGTGTGTGTGACGACTTAATTTCTTTTTTCTTAATGATTCTAGTCAGACTATGCACCAAGAATTATATCAGAAGCAGCTTGTGCGTTTAAAGGCATGATGAAGTAGCCCTCCTCCCCCCAAGCTGCTTCTGCTTCAAACTATGAACTGGTAGGAGTCTAGCTGGAGTTTGTTCTTAAACTGTAGTAATTTAGTTTTTAAAAGTTAAGTTTGGCTTTCAAAATATATAGTTGCTTATCAGAAATGGGTCTCAAATCTATGGTTCCACGTTTTTTAACTGAATATGATATAGCTAGACATATCTGAAACAGTATTTTTTATGCAGAACATCCTGTTAACAATGTCTTTCCCCTGTAAATTCTCCTGCAAGTTAATTACACTTACTTTGAGGATTATAACTTGCTTTGAGGTGGCTTATTGCCTGAGGCACTATCTGGCTGATACTATAACAGTATGCCTTTTCACTTAATTTGGTGTGTGTTTGGGAACGTTTATTTGAACCATTACCACTACTTGCCATAATGATGAAAAGGCAAATTGAAGGATTCATTAACGGTTGTTTAAGAATCTCTTTATTAAAGGAATAAATAGCTATACAGGTTTGCTTCTTGCTGTTGTCTGCTCTCAGCAGGAGAGTCTGAGAGCTTCTTGAAAATGAGGTGCTCCGAGTGCTACCTATTGGAAGAGAATATACAGGCACCAGGAGTGAATTGGTATATACTTTGAATATCCATCTGGGTTTGACTGCTCATTTCACACTTGGTTCAGGGTAATAGATGTCTGTCCTTCCACTAAGGATCTAATCTCAGGTATGCCTTCTTGTGAAATCTGAGAGAAGTTACCAGCTTACTGCTCCTGAAAAAGGAATATCTTTCTCCCCCTGGTGCCACCCTTTCAACTGGCTAAGGAGTTCCTAAATACTTTTAAATGCTTACACTTTGTGTCTGTCTTTTTTTTTTTTTTTTTTTTTTTCCTCCTTTCCCCAATGTGCAATTTCCCCTCCTTGGCACCAGCTCTGGCAGTAGTCTGATCACAAAGTAAGCTTGGTCAACTCAAAATTGCTCAAATTGCTCACTTTCTTTTGCTGGGTTAATATTATCCTAATATTGTAATGAGTGGAACTAGCACGATGCATGATCAGAGAAGCTCCAGAGCTGAGTCAGGGTGATAGGAGTGAGTATACAGCTGGCAGAGGAGAAGGATTGTGTCGGGGTAAATGGGACATCCCTGTTTTGGCGGA